TCGACGATGAAGATCAAACACTATTGTTGTTGTGTGCTTTTCCCAGAACACATGCTCACTTCAAAGAAACTCTCTTGTATAGAAGGGATTCCCTGAGCTTTGAAAAAGTTCAATCAACCTTGTACTCTAAGGACTTGAACGAACGAAAGGAGCATAAACCTTCGACGACGGGCGAAGGATTGGCCGTTAAGGGAAAATTCTTGCGAAAGGATGGTAAGTTCGACAAGAAGAAAGGTAAAAGTCAGCAGAATTCTTATAGTGGTGAAACATCTGGTATTTGATGTTATCACTGTAAGAAGGAGGGTCACACAAGAAAGGTGTGTCCTGAACGCTTGAAATATCATGGAGGTAAGGACAATGGCAACATATCCATTGTTTAAGATGACTTTGACTCATCTGATGTTCTTGTGGTTTCAAGTGGCAACTCAATAAAAGAGTGGATTATGGATTCAAGTTGCACTTGGCACATGACTCCAAACAGAGAATTGTTTGAGGAGCTATGAGATCAAGATGGTGGATTAGTACTGCTGAGAAACAACAAATCTTGCAAAATTGTAGGTATTGGATCTGTGAGATTCAAGCTCCATGATGAGTCAATAAAGTTATTGACTGAAGTCAGGTATGTACCTGATTTAAAGAGAAATTTGATTTCTCTTGGTGAATTCGACAAGAAGGGATATGCTTTTCAAGGAGAGAAAAGTATCCTAAGAGTCATGATGGGGTTGAAGGAAGTCTTGAGAGGCGTGAAGAAATAAGGTTTGTATACCCTTGAGGCTGAGGTTGTAAGTGGTTCGAAAAATGTTGCATCCATGAAATCTAAGTTGAAGACAGAATTGTGGCACATGAGATTGGGCTATCTCAGTGAAAGAGGCCTTGTCGAATTGGGGAAGTTGAACCTGCTAAGAAGTGACAAAGTTGAAAAGTTGGAGTTTTGTGAATCTTGTGTATTTGGTAAATCCTGTAGGGTGAAGTTTAACAAAGGCAGGCAAAGAACACATGGATCTCTGGATTACATTCATGATGATCTTTGGGGGCCTGCAAGGAATCCTTCACACTCAGGTGCAAGGAATCCTTCACACTCAGAAAGCTATGGGTATTCATCCAGAAGACAGAGGATGAAACTTTTGAGAATTTCAAAAGTTGGAAGGTTCTGGTCGAAACTCAAACTGGAAGAAAGGTTAAGAGGTTGAGAACCGAAAATGGCCTTGAGTTCTGCAACAAAGCGTTTGACAGTTACTGTGTTGAGTATGGGATTTCAAGGCATAAGACTGTAGCACGTACTCCTCAACAAAATGGTTTAGTTGAGAGATTCAATCAAACAACCCTTGAAAGGGTTAGATGCATGTTGGTTAGTGTTGGATTGAAGAAGGTGTTTTGGGCGGAGGCTATTTTGACAACAGCCTATCTGGTAAATAGATGTCCCTCGACTGCCTTGGGAATGAAGACACCTGAAGAAGTTTGGTCGAGATATCCACCTAGTCTCGACAGAGTGAGAGTATTTGGTTGTTGGCCTATGCTCATATTAGGAAAGACAAGGTCGAACCTAGAGCTCTAAAAGGCATGTTCATGGAATACCCTTTAGGAGTCAAAGCTTATAGACTATGGTTCCTAGAGCTAGGTCACAGGAGGTGTGTCACCAGTTGAGATGTAGTTTTCAATGAAGCAGAGATGGCTTTCAAGAAAACTGATGATGCTGACAAAGAGCTAGAACATGGAGAGATTCCTGTTGAGGTGGAGTATGTTGATGCTGAATTGCATATCCCAGATGAAGTCGAAGAAGACGCAGAAGATTTTGTCGAAGATGAGGAGATTGATAATGACTACCTGCTAACAAGAGACAGGCCGAGGAGAGTCATCAAGCCACCTCAGAGACTTGGGTATGTAGATCTTATAACTTATGCCTTAATCTCTGTAAGTGAGGTTCTAGAAGAAGAACTTAGAGACTATAAGGAAGTTATGAGGAGTCGAAAGAAAACTGAATGGCTGAAGGCCATGGATGATTAGATTAAATATCTTCATGATAGCAACACCTGGGAACTAATCAAGAAACCTGCTGGAGCCAGGTTAGTCAGGTGTAAATGGATTTTCAAAGTTAAGGAAGGGATAGAAGGAGTGGCGTCAAATAGATACAAGGCAAGATTGGTCGCTAGAGGGTTCACTCAGAAAGAAGGTTTTGACTTTAATGATGTGTTCTCTTCTGTTGTGAAGCACGGATTCGTTCGAATGTGGCTTGCCACAGTGGCACAATTCAACCTTGAACTGGAACAGATGGATGTAAAGACGGAGTTCTTATATGGTGATCTAGATGAAACAATCCTTATGAGGCAACCTGAAGGGTATGTCGACAAAGGGAAGGAAGATATTCTAATAGCAAGCAACAATGCCGAAGATGTAATGAGGGTGAAGGCTGAACTCAATAAGGAGTTCGACATGAAGGATCAGGGAGCTGCGTCCATGATTCTTGGGATTGACATCCGAAGCGATAGAAAGCAGTCGAAATTATGCTTATCTCAAGAGGCATACATACGGAAGATTCTCGAAAATTATGGTATGTCGAATTCAAAGCCTGTTGTGACTCCAAAAAACCCTTAATTCAAGATGAGTATATATCAGTGTCCTAACATTGATGTCGAAAGAATTTATATGAATAGCATTCCATATGCTAATATAATGGGTTCTTTAATGTATGTTATGGTCTGTACTAGACCCGACATAACATATGCAGTAAGTCTTGTAAGCAGGTACATGGCGAATCCTGGAAAGTCTCTGGCAAGCATTGAAATGGATTATAAGGTACATAAATGAGTCTCTGAATAGAGTCCTAATTTATGATGGAGCCTTGGGTGAAGATAGTAAAGCAAAAATTGAAGGATATGTCAACTCTGATTATGCAGGTTGTATGGATTCCATAAAACCTATTTTTGGATATGTGTTCACTATATTTGGGACAACAATCAGTTGGAAAGCAACACTTCATAAGGTTGTTGCCTTATCTACCACTGAAGCGGAATATATCGCCCTAAGTGAAGCTGTGAAGGATGCATTGTGGCTTGAAGGTTTTGCAAAATAGCTGAAACTTCAAGGTCGAGTTATCACTGTTAAATGTGATAGTCAAAGTGCAATACACCTGTCAAAAAATTCAGCCTATCATGAGCGAACCAAGCACACTGATGTGTTTTCCTTAGAGAAAGATTGGCCATTACTATTATTGGGAACCCACTTACATTTAAATAAAGCCACTTTGAAAATAACATAATCAATCTCCCAAATCTCATCAATGACACCATAAAACATGGTAGTTGCCAATACAGGATTCTTATCTTTCGAACTGGAGAAATACATCGATTCGGCTTCAACCATAACCCCACTATTTTTCATTGTACTACAATCATATTTTGATTTTGTATAAAAGGTATAATGACCATTAATGTCGTATGCAATCCAAGTAATGACACAAAATTTTGGCTCGTACGACAACCATTTAAGTATCTCAGATGCACTACGATCATTAGATACACTTTTATTAAGCCAATATATAAATCTCTTGTTATGCTCTATCAACAACAACTTGTCACTAATTCGGGGATATTTTTTCCTCAAAAGTCTTTTGTGAGTATTTATGAAAGGTTGAACTTCATCTATATTATTCAATATATAAAAATGTGCTTGAATAACTACATCCCGAGCCATTGACATAAAATTTATACCTTGAATACCTCTTCCGTCTATATCAGTATGATGAGACTTTGGAATTCCTATATAATTTGCGTCCGACAAATAGTTTGTACAAAACTCAACAACTTCTTCTATGATGTACCTTTCAACAATTGAAGCTTCCGTTCGGTAATGATTCTTCATATATCCTTTAAAGATCTTCATATAATGCTTTATTGGATACATCCATATTAAATAAATTGGACTTAAAGTCTGACTTCTCCGACTAGATGAACAAGTAAGCGAACCATAATGTCAAAAAATGATGAAGAAAAATACATCTTCAATTGACATAAGATTATGACAGCCTCATATTCTAATTCATATAATTTTTTGAAATCAAGAACTTTATTACATATGGCATTGAAGAATAAGCACAATCTCATTATAATTACTCTCATATTTTTTGGTAGGATCCCACGGATAGCCACTAGTAGAAGTTGTTGCATCAATACATGACAATCATGACATTTTAAACCAATTAACTTGAGATATTTCATTGATACAAGTTTCTTGATGTTTGATGAGTAACCTTGCGAAAATTTAATACCTTGCAAACACTCGTAGAAAATTTCCTTTTCCTTTTTATATAGAGTATGACATGCTGGAGGCAGATAAGTTCTTTTTCCTTTCTCTATTAGAGCCAACTATTTTCGTATACCCATCTTCTCCATATCGAGACGGGAAGTCTTACTATCTTTAGTCTTGTCTGGAATGTTTAGAAGTGTGTCAATCAAACTATCACAAACATTTTTCTCCATGTGCATCACATCAAGACAATGTCTAACATCAAAACTTGACTAATATGGAAGATCAAAGAAGGTGAACCTCTTTTTCCATATATTTTTTGCAACTGCCACTTTTTATTTTTCTCTCTTCCCAAAAACAACATTAATGTGTTCCTTCTATTGATAAACTTCATCCCTAATTAAAGGTTCAGGAGCCTTATTAAACTTCTACTCTCCATTAAAAGCCTTCTATAAGCTACGATAAGGATGATCAGGTTTTAGAAATTTTCGATGCCCAAGGTAAACGATCTTTTTTCCAAATTCAAGTTGGTGATAAAAAGTGACATCTTCACATATAGAACACGCTCTATATCCTTTGACACTATATCCATCCAAGTTACCATAAGCAAAAAAGTCGTTGATTGTTCAAAATAACATTGCACGCATCTTAAACTTTTCCCCAGAATATGTATCATCAACTTCAACGCCTTCATCTCACAAGAGTCATAAATCATCAATTAATGGACTTAGATAACCATCGATGTCATTACCAGGTTGTCATGGTCCAGAAACCATCATACTTAATAGTATATACTTGCGCTTCATGCATAACCAAGGAGATAGGTTGTAAATAGTGAGAAGAACAGGCCACGAAGTATGATTAGTGCTCAGATTACCAAAGGGTTTCATTCCATCGATGGAAATCCCAAGCCTAAGGTTTCTTGGCTCAACTCTAAAATCCGGAAACAACGAATCAGCTACATGGCGAATGTTTCCATCACGAGTCATTTCACCTGCATGCCATATAAGATTCTTTGCATCATTTGAATTAGCAAAAAGTCTCTTAAATCGTGAAATTATTGGCAAGTACCATAACACTTTAGCAGGAGGATGCTTCCTACCAACATTGTCATAGTCATTGTCATCACCATTGTTGGCCTTCATCTTGTAACGCGACACACCATATTTCAGACATTGATACAAGTCTTCATACTCTTTCCAATATAATATGAAATTATTAGGGCAAGCATGTATTATGATATTCTCCAGACCCATTGGACACAATATCTTCTTAGCCTCATAGCAACGATCCAGCAGTTTGTTATCTTCTAGTAATTTCGTGAAACATTTATACGACCATCCATTTTTTGCCTTCAGATTAACCAACTTTAACACTGCCGACAATCTTGTAAAATTTGTGCATCCCTTATACAAAGGGGTGTCTTTATCACTACCTAAAGTATCATAAATATGAGCATTATTAAAAGAAGATTTCCCAATATCACGAAACATATCATCTAGTTGATCTTCCATATATTCATATTCATCCACTTTTTGACTTTGTGACTCCCGAATTTCCTTTTTATCCACCTCACCATGCCACATCCATATTATATAATTTTGACATATACCACCACAACAAAGGTGATAGGATATTTCTTTCTTTGTACCCTTTTTGATATTCGTGTAAACAACACAAGGACAATAAAAGATACCATTATTGTCGGGAAGATGTTTATCAACATATTCAAGGAATTCAAGAACTCCGTTCACATAAATCAGACCTAATCTATCAACTTTCATCCAACTACGATTCATAACAACTTCTGAAATTTATACACGTATAGTAATGTGAATGACACACGAAAAGCTAATCCTAAAACTTAAACATATGCATATGCAAATCTAAACCTAAAGCATATGAAACATGTACTCTCATACTGACTTGAGCATATACAACATAAACAAAGAAAAAAGGAATGAATATGTTGAAGAATATCGTACTTTAAAGCTGAAGAATCTTATGCACGTAAGGAATGAAGATGTAGAAGAGTATCGTACTTCGAAGCTGAAGAATCAAATAAACGAATAAGGTGTGAATATATACAACATAAACCAAGAAAAAAAGAATGAAGATTTTGAAGAGTACTGTACTTTGAAGCTGAAGAATCAAATGAACAAAGAGGGTGAACATTTGAGCTCCAAATGAATGAATACGAAGAGGGTAAAGATTACGCCACCGATGTCGTCTCTAGATCGCTTGTTCGCCTAGGGCGTCTTATGAAATAAATACATAATAAGTTTTGTTTTAATTTATCAGTACACCCTTTAATCGCGGTTGGACAATCCAACCGTAGTGGAATTGTAAGTCCTCTAACAACGGTTGGTCTATTTCACCGTTGTAAAATCATTTACAATTTATTTTTTAAATAATGGACTTAAGTGACACATGCTTAAGTGGCACACGCTTAATGTCCTCTAACAATGGTTGGTTTACTTCACCGTCGTAAAATTATTTACAATTTATTTTTTAAATAATGGATTTAAGTGACACACACTTAATGTACTCTATAAAATGGAAAAAAAATGTAGTTGCTAAGAATCGAAGCTTGCTACACATTATTTATTACTATGATGTTTTAAGACAATCGTCATTAAATTACTGTTTATAAATCCATCTACTTACTAGGCGCAAATTTTTAACCTATTACAACGGTGTATATGAATCCGTTGTAAAACTGGTGTTGTTGTTTGCGCGTTTTGTAGTAGTGAGGAATATCTAGCACAACTATATGAGAAACTATTAATAAATATCGTGAGACTAACAAATTGGATATAAACATGATATTTGATAAAATATTATAGCATAATTTGATCCATGTAGTTGATCCTATTTAGGAGGATAATGTTTGGTTGTTGTTGTTGTTAAAGCCACATAAATAATTGATTAGGGTGTACTCATAATGTGTGTATTTTATAATTATGAAGTATGAAAGACATTCATTTTTATATCCCTCTCTTTGAAAATAGGCGATGATGATCACTACGGTGGACTCAAGCTTGCGCTGCAGCAAAACATAGCTGATCTACAAGGTTACAATATGAAGTTAACTGAGAATTGAATTCAAATTACCTATGAAATTGCATGTTTTCCTCTTTATATAGTTGGGGGGTTATAACTGCTCGCAAAATTGGTAGCGTGTTATATGGATGACTGTCCAATTAATCTAGACGGTGTAAGATAATATAAGGTTTGATATCATCTATCTTCCTATTCGACATATGATTCAGCGTGTCGTTCTTTTTTTAGTCTTCATTACTGGGCTTACTAGGTGGCCCAAAATAGTTGCCCCTTAAACAGTTGTCCCCAAAACAACTGCCTCTTCAACTGTCAATTTGACTGGTTGTTCTACTACATTTTGAGGATTGTTCTATGGATTAGGGTTATTTATAGAAGAACGTGTCATTTTTGGTAAAGCTTTTCCACTTCTTAAACGCATACAAATATCAAGAACATTTCATGTACGAAGAAAAATTTGTAAAAGAAAACTACAATATCTAAAATAAAATAAAAAGTTTAGCAGAGTATCCCACTGGGCGTGCCAATTTGTTTACTCCTAAATTTGGTAAACACCCGCTAGTCTCTTTGAAAAAGTTTACTTGAAGAATTGACTATTGAATCCTAGGACATAGTGCTTAAATTCTCCATAAAAGACGTTTGATTGTGTTATAATGATAAAAGAAATTTTAAATTTGTAGAAAGGTAAAAATTGAACTTGTAAAAAGTAAGGAAATGAAGGGATTTCGACAGGAACAAAATCCTTGCAAAAGTGAGGATGAAAAGTAAATGACTTTATAGGTAATAAAGGTAAAGAACAAAAATATAAGAAATTGAATCTAATATATAAATGTTGGTTTACAAATCATACATTCTCTCGGTGACTCGTTTCTCTCTCCATTGTTTGGGTAATTTTATAATAAAATGGCCATCCTGAATCCACTAGAATCCTTATTTATAGTAATACATGACTATAATCCTAATAATTGACACATACCAATTTGCAATCCTAATAATTGACACATACCAATTTGCTTGATTTCGACCTCGTTGGTCTTTCTACATGATTCTTCCCTGCATGGATAAGAGTATCAAATAGTTACACTATTAGATTACAATGTTTCGCTCTAAAATTCCTTCATCAAACCTCATGAGAACTAACTCTACAAAATTTCTAATTCATCCGCTTCAATCCAATATAGACATTTCGACAGCCTTGGACCAAAAAATACCAAAGGTTGAAATTATAGTGTTTAACTCTAATTCTTTTAAGTATTTTATCTTGTGGAAATGGAATAAAGGTCACCGAAACTGTCACATCTCATTAAAAGTTAAAAGTGTTTCTATTCAAAAATCCTTCATAGAAAAACTAAATGGGTCAAATTCAATAGAGACATCATTATCAATTGTAAATTTTCTAACAGAAACAAGATTTTTTGTTATAAGTTTTGGTGCATGTAAAATAGTGTTTAAGGTTAGGGAATTGGGTAAAGATGCATCTCCATAACCTATAACAAGAATATGATAATCATTTCCAATAGTAATATTAGTAGTCATATTAAAATAAGACATGAGGTTACCTTCATTATCTATCATATGAGAAGTTGTTTCACTGTCCATATATCATTGATCATTAGGAGGAGAAATGGAGAAAGTGTGCATATTAGTCTGAATGTCCGTGAGAGCATAGTATTGTGGTGCTGGTTCAACGGTGGGAGTTGATGGAGCGGTGGCTATATGGGCCAAATATGCCAGATTGTGGCTATATGGGCCAAATATGCCAGATTGTTTCTGTGACTTACTGTCGAATAGGGGCTTTGTGGAGTTACTTATAGTTGTCATGGATATGCCCACAACAACGGCAGATAGAAAGATGGAAACTACTGTTGCTTTCGTGGCTAATAGCGACCTCCACCCGATCACTATATCTTTTCCTGCCACGACTGTCGCAACCATTGTTTTGGCCACTTAAAACACTATTGTTCATGGGAAAATAACAGATAAACAAATGTCCGCCCACTCGGAAGCACATCCATAAAAGAAGAAAAAGTAGCAAAAATTAAAAAAAATAAAACTCACAAAATCATAATTCAACTTCTAATCTTTATAAAACAAAATTACAAACTCTTTCATCAAATTGCAATTTTTAAAGAAAAAATTGCATATCCTCACAAATATAATTTTTAAATAGAAAAATTACAAACTCTTTCAATTATAATTTTTGAACGAAAAAATTGCAAACCCTCTCAACAACTTATTTTTGAATGAAAAAATAGAAAAACCTTTCTCAACCACTGTATCTCTCCCTGCCAATGAAAGCACTGTTGTTATGTGCACTGTTATTTTTGTTTCGGTCAGTTAATGTATAAAAGAAAATGATATAAATAACAACAATATTGATATTATAGATAGTTGGACAAATTCATTTTGTCGAAATTATAAAATCATCACATGTTTATATTATAAGATTTTCTTACAAACTTATCAGATGATTGTAATCAGGAGCGGATGCAGGTGCATCACAAAAAATAAAAAAATATTGTTAGTAAATATGTAAAAAATTTTAAAATAGTTCTCATGAAAAATTATGTTTTATCTATATAAATTAATGGCTAAAAAAATAAAGATTTATGTAAAAGAACATAAATAAATCAATCTAATGTTAATAATTTTAATCATATAGTGTTTTAATTTATATAGGTTATTTAGCATTATATATATATATATATATATATATATATATATATATATATATATATATATATATATATATATATATATATATATATATATATATATATAATTTTATATTTAAAAAAATATATTCTATATATTATTTTTTTAAATATTACAAAATATTTTTGATTTAATTGCAACTTTAACTTTTCTTTTTTCTTTTTTATTTTTTTTAAGATATTGATCCTTCATTTTAAAAACTACTGGTCACTTTTTTAAGTTTTTAGGTTAGATTTTAATCTTCAAAAAATGATCAAAATCTAATCCAAAGTTTATTATAATTTTTAAAATAGAGAGATCAAAACTAAAAATAAAAAATAAAATAGAAATCAAAATTACTTTTAAACTAATATATTTTAAAATATAAAAAATATTTTTTTTATAAATATTATTACAATATTTTTGCCCCCATAGCCAAATAATAATTCTGAATCTGCCACTTGATTGTAATAATAATTTTGTAAAAAAAGATACGTGTTATTATTTTCATGACTAATTATAATGTATTAAAAGATTAAAAAAAATAAATTGTGTTGTTCAATTATAAATCCAATAAAATATTGCTAAAACATAATAACTAATATATAGGAATAATGTTGCTACAAAATATTTTACTAAAGACTATAAAATATGAAAGAAAAAAGTTATAGTTAGAAACAAAGCCATAAATTCATTCATAAATCTGTTGTGAGATTGGTTCCGAAATTACAATAAAATAGAAAAATGGTAGATTTTGTAAAACGATGAATGTTACTACAAACAATACAAAGGGTGCTGCCATACTCACAATCGACATATTTCATTCCGACCTTCCTTCTCTTTCACACATTAAGCACCACCCACATTCCAACGACTTCTTCACCTAACCTAAAAGGCTATATATGAAAGCAACAAAATGGATCCTCCCCATGACATTCATCCATCATACAAATGTTATGTGCACTATCTATATTCAAATCTAACTACTCTCAATTATTTAGACAAAACAAGAGATCCATCACCAAATACAATGTGTGAGTAGAAT